TGTTGGTGGTGTTGGAGGGTGTGTGTGTGGGGGTGGTGTTGGAGGGTGGCTGTGTGGGGTGATGGTTGGAGGGTGTGTGTGTGTTGGGGTGGTGTTGGAGGTGTGTGGGGGTGGTGTTGGAGGGTGTGTGGGGTGGTGTTGGAGGGTGTGTTGGGGTGTGTGTTGGGGTGGTGTTGGAGGGTGTGTGTTGGTGGTGCTGGAGGGTGTGTGTTGGGGTGGTGGTGGAGGGGTGTGTGTTGGAGGGTGGTGTTGGAGGTGTGTTGGAGGTGTTGGGTGTGTGTGCTGGTGGTGCTAGAGGGTGTGTGTGGGGGTGGTGTTGGAGGGGTGTGTGTTGGGGTGGTGTTGGAGGGTGTGTGTGTTGGGGTGGTGTTGGAGGGTGGCTGAGTTGGTGTTGGAGGGTGTGTGTGTGGTGGTGGTGGGGGTGTGTGTTGGGGTGATGTTGGAGGGTGTGTGTGTTGGGGTGGTGTTGGGGTGTGGTTGGTTTGTTGGAGGTGTGTGTTGGTGGTGCTAGAGGTGTGTGTGGGGGGTGGTGTTGGAGGTGTGAGTTGGAGGGTGTTGGAGGTTGTGTGTGTTGGAGGTGTGTGTTGGTGGTGTTGGGGTGTGTGTTGGTGGTGTTGGAGGGTGTGTGTTGGGTGGTGTTGGATGGTGTGTGTTGGTTGTGTTGGAGGTGTGTGTTGGGTGTTGGATGGTGTGTGTGGGTGTGTGGGTGTGTGTTGGTTGTTGGTGGGTGTGTGTTGGTTGTGTTGGTGGGTGTGTGTTGGTGGTGCATGGGTGTGTGTTGGTGGTGTTGGAGTGTGTGTGTTGGAGGTGTTGGATGGTGTGTGTTGGTGGTGTTGGAGGTGTGTGGTTGTGTTGGTGGGTGTGTGTGTTGGGTGGTGTTGGTGTGTTGGTGGTGTGGGGGTGTGTTGGTGGTGTTGGAGGGTTGTGTGTTGGGGTGTTGAGTGGTGTGTTGGTGTGTTGGGTGTGTGTGTTGTTTGTGTTGGTGTGTTGGTGTTGGGGTGTGTGTTGGTTGTGTTGGTGTGGTTGGGTTGTGTGTTGGGTGGTGTTGGGAGGTGTGTGTTGGTGGTGTGTGGTGCTGGAGGTGTGTGTTGGTGGTGTTGGAGGTGTGTGGTGGGTGAGGGTGTGTGTTGGTGTGTGTTGGAGGTGTTGGTGGTGATGGAGGGTGTGTGTTGGTGGTGATGGAGGGTGTTGGTGGTGTTGGGGTGTGTTGGTGTTGGTGTGTTGGGGTTGGTGGGGTGTGTGTTGGTGTTGAGAGGGTGTCCGTGGTGGTGACTGAGGTGTGTGTTGGTGGTGATGGGTGTGTGTTGGTGGTGTTGGAGGGTTGTGTGTTGTTTTTGATTGTCGGGAGGGTGTGTTGTTGGTGTGTTGGATGGTGGTGTTTGGAGGGTGTTGGAGGTGTGTTGTGTGCTTGAGGGATTTGCGTGGAGGTGTGTGTAGGTGTTGTGGGAAGATGTGTATAGTGTGTTGGGGTGTGTGTTTAGTGGTGTTGGAGGTTGTGTGTTGGTGGTGTTGGTGTTGGAGGGGTGTGTTGGTGTTGGAGGGTGTGTGTTGGTGGTGTGTTGGAGAGGGTGTGTGTGTTGGTGGTTGGAGGGTGTGTGTTGGTGGTGGAGATTGTGTGAGCTGGTGGTGGAGCTGGAGGGTGTGTGTTGGTGGTGTTGGAGGGTGTGTGTTGGTGGTGTTGGAGGGTGTGTGTTGGTGGTGTTGGAAGGGTGTGTTGTTGGTGTTGGAGGGTGTGTGTTGGTGGTGTTGGAGGTGTGTGTTGGTGTTGGATGGTGTGTGGTGGTGTTGAGGTGTGTGTTGGGTGGTGGTGTAGGGTGTGTGTTGGTGGTGTTGGAGGGTGTGCTGGTGGTGTGGAGGGTGTGTGTTGGTGGTGTCGGAGGTGTGTTGGTGGTGTTGGAGGGTGTGTGTTGGTGGGTGTGTGGTGTTGGAGGGTGTGTGTGTTGGTGTTGTTAGGGTGTGTTGGTGGTGTTTGGAGGGTGTGTGTTGGGTGGTGTTGGAGGGTGTTGGTGTGTGTTGGTGGTGTTGGTGGTTTGGAGGTGTGTGTTGGTGGTGTTGTAGGTGTGTGTTGGTGGTGTTGGAGGGTGTGTGTTGGTGTTGTGGGGTGTGTGTTGGTGGTGTTGGAGGTGTGTGTTGGTGGTGTTGGAGGGTGTGTGTTGGTGGTGTTGGAGGGTGTGTGTTGGTGGGTGATGTTGGTGGTGTTGGAGGTGGGTGTGTGTTGGGTGTGTGTTGGAGGTGTGTGTTGGTTGGAGGGTGTGTGTGTTGGAGGGTGTGTGTTGTTGGTGGTGTTGGAGGTGTGTGTTGGTGGTGTTGGAGGGTGGTGTTGGTGTTGGAGGTGTGTGTTGGTGGGTGTGTGTTGGAGGTGTTGGATGTGGTGTGTGTTGGTGGTGTCTGGAGGGTGTGTGTTGTGTGGTGTGTGTTGGTGGGTGTGTGTTGGGGTGGTTGGAGGGTGGTGTTGGAGGTGTGTGTGTTGGGTGTGTGTTGGTGTGTTGGTGGTGTTGGAGGTGTGTGTTGGTGGTGTTGGGAGGTGTGGGAGGGTGTGTGTTGATTTTGTGTGTGTTGGTGTTGGAGGTGTGTGTTGGTGGTGTGTGTTAGAGTTTGGTGTTGGAGGGTGTGTTGGTGGTGTTGGATGGTGTTGATTTTGGTGTTGGTGGAGGGTGTGTTGGGGTGGTGTTGGGAGGTGTGTGGCGGGTGGTGTTGGGGTGTGTGTTGGTGGTGTTGGGGGTGTGTGTTGGGGTGGTGGAGGTGTGTGTTGGGTTGGTGTTTGGGGTGTGTGTTGGAGTGTGGGAGGGTGTGTGTTGGTGGTGGCAAGTGTGCTGGTGGTGTGTGGGGTGGTGTTGGAGGGTGTGTGTTGGTGGTGTTGGTGGTGTGTGTTGGTGGTGTGGAGGTGGTGTGTTGGTGGGGTGTGTTGGTGGTGTTGGGAGTCGTGTGTTGGTGGTGTGTGGGGTTGGTGTTGGAGGGTGTGTGTTGGTGGTGTGGGTGTGTTGGTGGTGTTGGAGGTGTGTGTTGGTGGTGTTGAGGGTGTGTGGTGTTTGAGTTGTGTGTGGTGTTGTTGGGGGTGTGTTGGTGTTGGAGGGTGTGTTTTGGTGGTGTTGGAGGGTGTGTGTTGGGTGGTGTTGGAGGGTGTGTGTTGGTGTTGTGGGGTGTGTGTTGGTGTTGGGGGTGTGTGTTGGTGGTGTGTTTGGTGGTGTTGGAGGGTGTGTGTTGGTGGTGTTGGAGGGTGTGTGTTGGTGTGGAGGTGTGTGTTGGTGGTGGCTTGGAGGTGTGTGTTGGTGTGTTGGAGGTGTGTGTTGGTGGTGTGGAGGTGTTGTGTTGGTGGTGTTGGAGGGTGTGTGTTGTGGTGGTGTTGGAGGGTGTGTGTGGTGTTGTTTGTAGGGTGTGTGTTGGTGGTGTTGGAGGGTGTGTGTTGGGTTGGTGTTGGAGGGTGTGTGTTGGTGGTGTGGGTGTGTGTGTTGGTGGTGTTGGAGGGGTGTGTTGGTGGTGTTTGGAGGGTGTGTGTTGGTGGTGTGGGGTGTGTGTTGGTGTGGAGGTGTTGTTGTGTTGGTGGTGTTGGAGGTGTTGTGTTGGTGGTGTCGTGGGTGTTGTTTGTGGTGTTGGAGGTGTGTGTTGGTGGTGTTGGGGTGTGTGTGTTGGTGTGTTGGAGGGTGTGTGTTGGGTGAGTTGGGGTGGTTGTTGGTGTGGGGTGTGTGTTGGTGGTGTTGGGGTGTGTTGGTGGTGTTGTTGGGTGTGTGTTGTGGTGGTGTTGGAGGTGTGTGTTGGTGGTGTTGGAGGGTGTGTGTTGGTGGTGCTGGAGGGTGTTGTGTTGGTGTGGTGTGAGGGTGTGTGTTGGTGGGGTTGTGTGTTTGTGGTGTTGAGGTGTGTTCCTGACTCACACACACACACACACACACACAGTGAATTAAGACAAATGCACATTCCTCATCAATACCACCCTCACACCTTCTGCTTTCTCACCCATATTTTTAAAATGTTATGTAACGTACAAAGGGATACAACTTTGCTTTTATTTATAATTTATACTTATCACAATCTCTAAAAATACTTTAGGTTTTAGGCTTATTCAAGACATCTTCTTCGGTGGGGTCATGACATCTGACACTAACTCCCCCACCCAAAGAAAAGGGTCACCTGACATTCCATCTCCCTGCACCAGTTGCCTCAAGATGTCTTGAATAAACACGAAAGCTATGTGCTCCTGTGTGTATACTTTGAAGGGACTAAGTGAGTCATTCTATAGATACTGTATTTTATCAATGCTAGGTGTGGGGCTTGAATTATCATTAACGAGAAAAAATACAGTACTGTAATAAAATCCTTTTACCTCTTGCCACAGAGATGTCATCAAGGTGTTCTTTTATTTTAAAATATCTGGTACTATTCGAAGCACTAAGACTCTCAAGGTCTGGGTGAAGCTAAAAAACCATTTGATCAAACATACAATAATAAAAATTCACCTAAAGACAAGCTTTCCATGAAATTAAACATTTAAAACGGGTATTTAAAGTTGTTTTTTACATTAGAGGTCACAACTCAAGGTTGCTTTCAGAAACTGTTAGAATTATGAACTGTTGTAAGGCAGTAACAATTCCGTCATTGTAAATCACCCCATATAATCAGTTTTTCTCCTTCCGTGATGCACCACACAGACCCGGTTCCTATTTTCACCCTTGCTGAATTATTAGCAACATTTTAATGTATCCTGACGAAGAGTGCGACCCCTCCCCTTTCTTTGTGAAAAAAGGTTGCACTTTCTATGTGGCACACCCAGATAAAATTTTGGCCGCCAGATTCATCTTATGCGTTTCGGTGATTACAGTGAAGCTCTGATTTTTGCACATACAACCGCTCAGCAAGCTCATTTATTTCTACCCAGCCTTACCGTTTGTAGAAGGGCATGGGCGTCACTTCCCTCAAGGGCGGGAGGACAGAGGTTTGCTGGGGATGAAAACTGAAGAGAGTGATGTGGATGTTAACAGGATTGGTCTGGAGAAACTGAGGTAGAATTAACTGCTGGCTGGTGAGTTAAGTGGGAGCTGTTTCTGCAGATGCTGCCGAGAGGCTGATGGGGACTGGTTCTGTAGACGCGTAGAGGTTGCCGATGGGACTGGTTCTGCAGATGCTGCAGAAGGTTGATGGACCTGGTTCTTGTAGATGCTGTAGAGGTTGATGGGACCGAAGTTCCAGATGCTGTGGTAGAGGTTGATGGGACCGGTTCCAGATGCTTGCAGAGTGCTGATGGGACCGTTCTGTGGATGCTGCAGAGGTTGATGGGGACTGGTTCTGTAGGTAGATGCTGTAGAGGCGTTGATGATTGGTTCTGCAGATGCCGCAGAGGTTGATGGGACTGGTTCTGCAGTAGATGCTGCCGAGGTTGATGGACTGCTCTGTAGAGATGCCGCAGAGGCGATGGACTGGTTCTGTAGATGCGGGGCAGAGAGGCGATGGGACTGGTTCTGTGGTAGATGCCGGCAGTTACGCGGACTGGTTCTGTAGATGCTGCAGAGGTTGATGTGGACCGGTCTCTGTAGATGCTGTAGAGGCTGATGGACTGGTTCGTGGAGTTGCCGCAGAGGTTGATGGACTGGTTTTGCAGGAGGTTTGCTGCAGAGGTTGTGCTGGTTTGTAGATGCTGTAGAGGTTGATGGACTGGTTCTTGCAGATGCTGTAGAGGTTGATGTGACTGGTTTTGTGGGATGCTGCAGAGGCGATGGGCTGGTTCTGCAGATGCGGTAGAGTGTTGATGGGACCGGTTCCAGGATGCGGGGTTGTGGGACTGGTTCTGTAGATGCTTGGAGGCTGATGGACCGGTTGCAGATGCAGCAGGGGTTGTGGACCGGTTCTGTAGATGCCGCAGAGGGTTGATGGACTTTTTCTGTAGAGTGCTGGTGGGCGTTGATGGGGACTGGTTTGGATGCGCAGGGTTGATGGACCGGTTCTGGTGATGCTGCAGAGGTTGGTGGGACTGTTCCAGAGATGCAGGTGAGGTTGATGGACCGGTTCTGGGTAGATGGCAGAGTAGGATGTGACCGGTTCTGCAGATGCAGAGGTTGGTGGGATCTGGTCTGCAGATGCTGTAGGGTTGATGCGACCGGGTTCTTGTAGATGCCGCAGAGGTTGGGATGGGACTGTTCTGTGATGCTGCAGAGGCTGATGGACTGGTTCTGGTAGATGCTGCCGGAGGTTGGTGGTTCGGTTTGCAGATGGAGAGGCGGATGGGACTGGTTCTGTTGATGCTGCAGGAGATGTTACGGGACTGGTTCTGTAGATGCTGCAAGAAGTTGATGGACTGGTTCCGCAGATGCGTAGAGGTTGATGGGACCGGTTCTCAGATGACGGAGTGTTGATGTGACCGGTTCTGCAGATGCCGGCGATGTTGATGGGACCGGTCTGCAGATGCCGCAGGAAGTTGAGATGGGACCGGTTCTGCAGATGCCGCAGAGTGTCGATGGACCGTCCAGATGCTGCCGAGGCTGATGGGACCGGTTCGTAGATGCTGCGCAGAGGTTGATGTGGACCGGTTCTGTAGATGCCGCAGGTTGATGGGGACCGGTTCTGTAGATGCCGCAGAAGCTGATGGACCGGTTCTGTAGATGCCGTGAGGTTGGATGGGACCGGTTCTGCAGGATGCGCAGAAGGATGGACTGGTTCTGAGATGCTGCAGAAGTTGATGGGACCGGTTCTTGCAGAGATGCTGCAGAGGTTACGGACTGGTTCTGCAGATGCCGCAGAGGTTGATGACCGGTTCTGCAGATGCCGCAGTAGTGAGATGGGACCGGTTCTGTAGATGCTGCAGAGGTTGAGGACTGGTTCTGCAGATGCCGCAGAGGTTGGGTGGACTGGTTCTCTGTAGATGCTGCAGAGGTTGATGGGCTGGCCCTGATGCCGCAGAGGAGATGGACTGGTTCTGTAGATGCTGCAGGATCGTGTGGGACTGGTTCTGCAGATGCCGCAGAGGTTGATGGACTGGTTCTGTAGATGCTGGAGGCTGATGGACTGGTTCTGTGATGCTGCAGAGGTTGATGACTGGTTCTGAGATGCGCAGAGGTTGATGGGACCGGTTCTGGTAGATGCCGCAGAGAGGTTGATGGGACTGGTTCTGAGATGCTGTAGAGGTTGATGGGACCGGTTCCTGCAGGATGCCGCAGAGGGATGACCGGTTCTGCAGATGCTGGGGTTGATGGGATGGTTCTGCAGATGCCGCAGAAGTGATGTGACCGTTCTGCAGGATGCCGCAGGAGGTTGATGTGACCGGGTTCTGTGGTGATGCTGCAGAGGTTGATGGATTGGTTCTGCAGATGCTGCAGAGGTTGATGGACTGGCCTCTGGATGCTGCAGAGGTGGATGGGACTGGTTCTGCAGGATGCTGCAGAAGTTGATGGGACCGGTTCTTGCAGATTGCAGAGGTTGTGGGACCGGTTCCAGAGATGCTGCTGAGAGGCTGCTGGATGCGGACCTGTTCTGCAGATGATGCAGAGGCCGAGCGGGACTGGTCTCTGAGATGCTGCAGATGGATTGGTTCTGCAGATGCAGTAGGCTGAGGACCGGTTCCGAGATGCTGCAGAGGTTATGGACTGGTTCTTGCAGATGCTGCAGAGGCTGTGGGACTGGTTCTGGTGGGATGCTGCAGGCGATGGACTGGTTCTGCAGATGCTGGTAGAGATGCCGATGGGACCGGTTCTGCAGATGCCGCAGAGGCTGATGGGACCGGTTTCTTGCAGATGTGCGGAGGTTGATGGGACCGGTTCTGCAGATGCTGCAGAGGTGATGGGACTGGTTCTGCAGATGCCGCAGAGTGTTGGATGGACTGGTTCTGGAGATGCTGCAGTGGTTGATGGACCGGTTCTGTAGATGCTGCAGAGGCTGATGGACTGGTCTGCAGATGCAGAGGTTGATGGACTGGTTCTGGAGAGCGCAGAAGCGAGGGACCGGCCCTGCGTGCAGATGCGTGCAGGAGTGTTGGTAACGGCTCGTAGATGCCGCAGAGAGAAGATGGGACCGGTTCTGAGATGCTGCAGAGGTTGAGCGGACCGGTTCTGATGCCGCAGATGTTGACGGGACTGGTTCGTAGATGCGCAGAGGCCGAGATGGGACCGGTGATGCCGCAGAGGTTGATGGGACCGGTTCTTGCAGATGCTGCGGTAGAGAAGCTGATGGGACGGCCTGCAGATGCCGCAGGGTTGATGGGGTCTGGTTCTGTAGATGCTGCAGAGGTTGATGGACGGTGGTTCTGTGGTAGATGCCGCAGAGGTTGATGGACCGGTTCTGTAGATGCTGCGAGGTTGATGGGACGGTTCTGGAGATGCTGCCGAGGTTGATGGTGGACTGTTCTGCAGATGCTGAGAGGCGATGACACCCTGTAGAGATGCCGGAGGAGGTTAGATGGACTGGTTCTGTAGATGCTGCAGAGGCGATGGGACCGGTTCTGATAGATGCCGCAGAGGGCGATGGACTGGTTCTGTAGATGCTGCAGAGGTTGATGCGGACTGGTTCTGTAGATGCTGCAGAGTGTGGATGGACCGGTTCTTGCAGATGCCGCAGAGGTTGATGGGATTGGTTCTGTAGATGCTGCGAGGTTGATGGGACTGGTTTCAGATGCCGCAGAGGTTGATGGACTGTCTCAGAGATGCCGCAGAGGTTTGGGATTGGTCTTTGTAGATGCTTGAGAGGTTGATGGACTGTTCTGTAGATGCCGGATGAGTTTGATGGCCGGATCTTTGGCAGATGCCGCAGAGAGCCGATGGACTGGCTCTGGTAGATGCCGCGAGGCGATGGGACTGGTTCTTGGAGATGCGTGAGTGTTGATGGACTTGGATTCGTGCAGATGCTGCAGAGAGTTGATGGACCGGTTCTCAGATGCTGCAGAGGTTGATGGGATTCGGCCTGGTGGTGGTGATGCCGGAGAGGTTGATGACTGGTTCTGGGATGCTGCAGAGGCCGATGGGAGACCGGTTCGGAGATGGTGCAGAGGTTGGATGGTACCGGTCAGATGCCGGAGGAGGTTGATGTACTGGCTCGGTAGATGCCGTAGAGGCTGGATGGGACTGGTTCAGATGCTGCGTGCAGAGGTTGATGGACTGGCCTGCAGATGCCAGAGAGGGTTGATGGACTGGTTCTGCAGATGCCGCAGAGGCTGATGGACTGGTTCTCGTAGATGCTGCAGAGGTTGATGACCGGTTCGATGTTGCAGAGGTTGATGGACCGGTTCTGCAGGATGCCGCAGAGGTTGATGGACTGGTCTGCAGATGCCGCAGAGGTTGGATGGACCGGTTCTGCAGATGCTGCAGAGGTTGATGACTGGTTCTGTAGATGCCGCAGAGGCTGAGGACCGGTTCTGTAGATGCCGGTAGAAGCGACGGGACCGGTTCTGGTAGATGCTTGAGGCTGATGGGATCAGTCTGTGGATGCTGCAGAGGTTGACGGACCGGGTTCTGCAGATGCTGCAGAGAGGTTGATGGGACCGGTTCTGTAGATGCCGCAGTTTGATGGGACCGGCTCTGTAGATGCCGGTGAGGTTGAGCGGGATTGGTTCTGCAGATGCCGAGTGCTGATGGACCCTGAGATGCTGCAGAGGCGATGTACTGGTTCTGGTAGATGCTGTTTGTAGAGCGATGGTCTTCTGCAGATGCCGCAGATGCGATGGGACCGGTTCTGCAGATGCCGCAGAGGTTGATGCGGACTGTTTCTGTAGATGCCGCAGTGGTTGATGACTGGTTCTGGCAGATGCCGGAAGAGGCTGATGTGACTGCTCTGAGATGCCGCAGTGGTGGCGATGGGACCGGCTCTGCAGATGCCGCAGAGGCTGACGACCGGCTCTGAGACGTTGCAGAGGTTGATGGACCGGTCCTGCAGGATGCTGCAGAGGTTGGCAGGACCGGTTCCTGGTAGATGCCGCAGAGGTTCGATGGGACTGGTCTTGCAGATGCCGCAGTGGTTGGGGACTGGTTCTGTAGATGTTGCAGGAGGTGTTGATGGGACTGGTCTGGGTAGATGTTGCAGTGGCTGATGGACGGTTCTGTAGATTCTCGGCAGAGGATGATGGACCGGTTTGTGGATGCTGCAGAGGTTGTGTGATTGGTTCTGCAGTGATGGAGAGTGGTTGGATGGGACCGGTTCTGGAGATGATGCAGAGGTTGATGGTGACTGGTTCTGTAGATGCCGCGAGGCTGGTGGGACTGGTTCCAGATGCGCAGAGGCTGGATGGGACCGGTTCTGTAGATGCTGCAGAGGTTGATGGGACTGTTCTGCAGATGCTGCAGAGGTTGATGGATCGGTTAGGATGTGCTGCAGAGGTTGATGGGACCGGTTCCAGATGCTGGGGGGTTGATGGAATGGTTTTGTTGATGCTGGAGAGGTTGGTGGACCGGTTCTGCAGGATGCGCAGAGTGTGGAATGGACTGTCCTGTAGATGTTTAAGAGGTTGATGGACCGGTCTTGCAGTGCCATGAGGTTGATGGACCGGTTTGGTGATGCTGCAGGAGGTTGATGGACCGTTTGTAGATGCAGGCGATGGACTGGGTTTGCGGAGATGCTGCTGAGGCGGATGGGACCGGTTCTGTGATGCTGCAGAGGTTGATGGGCGATTGCAGATGCTGCAGAGGTTGATGGGACTGGTTCTGTAGATGCAGAGGTTGATGGGACCGGTTCTGCAGGAGATGCCGGCGGATGCCGGATGGGACTGGTTCTGCAGATGCTGCAGGGTTGGATGGGACTGGTTCTGCAGATGCTGCAGAGTTAGATGGGACTGGTTCTTCAGATGCTTGAGGCGATGGACTGGTTCTGGATGCTGCAGAGGTGGGATGGGACTGGTTCTTGTAGATGCTGAGAGGTTGCGTACTGTCTGTGATGCTGCAGGGTTGATGGGGACCGGCTCTTGCAGATGCTGCAGAGGTTGATGGGACTGGTTCTGTTGATGCAGAGGTTGGGGGACTGGCCTCCTTGCAGATGCCGCAGAGGTTGATGGGGATCTCGGTTCGAGCAGAAGCCGTAGATGCTGATGCTGGGATCGGTTCGCAGATGCCGGTTGTTGATGGTCATTTCAGATGCAGAAATAGGGCTGATGGACCGGTTCAGATGCGGAGGTTGCTGGTGGACTGGACATTTGTAGGATGCCGTAGAGGTTGATGGATCGGTTTGTAGATGCTGCAGAGGTTGATGGGGACCGGTTCTGGGATGATGCTGTAAAGATGTTGGTGGGGACTGGTTCTGCAGATGCCGTGGGCCGATGGATTGGTTCTGCAGATGCTGAAGTGTTGGATGGGGACCGGTTGCCAGATGCGAGAGGTTGGTGACCGGTTCTTGTAGATGACGCGGCAGTGGTTGATGGGACCGGTTCTGTAGATGCGCAGAGCGTGGGGACCGGTTCTGTGATGCAGGAGGTTGATGTGACCGGCTTCAGATGGGAGGTTTGGCGGGACCGGTTCTGCAGATGCTGCAGAGGCTGATGGGACTGGTTCGCAGGTGCTGCGTGGTGCTGATGGGGATCGGTTCAGAGCGGAGAGGTGATGGGACCGGTTCTTGGGATGCGAGAGGGGTGGTACCGTCTGGTGGATTCCGCAGAGGCTGGATGTGGGGATCGGGTCTTGCAGATGCGAGAGGTTGATGGGGATCGGTTCTGTAGATGCATAGGTTGATGGGGACCGGTTTGCAGATGCTGCAGAGGTTGGTGGGACTGGTTCTGCAGATGCAGAGAAGCGGTGGACCGGGTTCTGTAGATGCTGCAGAGATTGGCGTGACTGGTCTTGCAGATGCGGAAGAGGTTGGATTGGCCGGCGTAGATGCTGCAGAGGCTGGTGGGACCGGTTCTCAGATGCCGCAGTGGTGATGGGACCGGTTCAAGATGCCAGAGGTTGGTGGGACTGGTTGTTCTGCAGATGCGCAGAGGTTGATGGACCGGGCTTTGCAGATGCAGAGGAAGCCGATGGACTGCTCTGTAGATGCTGTAGAGGCTGATGGGACTGGTTCTGCAGATGCTGCAGAGAGGTTGATGGGGACTGGTTCTGCAGACGCAGCAGAGGATGATGACCGGCTCTGTAGATGCCGCAGAGGTAGCAACAATGCAACCGAACGA